GTCTGAGAGGTTGAACTGAAGGACTCCGAAGTACGGCAATGGCCGAAGTCCTTCATGACTATCTATTTATCCCCTTCCCCCACACACAAAAATACGTGCCGCCGCCTACGGCCGCCATAAAAGATAAAAGTGTGTCTTCATTGCCCTGAGGGAACCTCTAAATGGCAGCCATTACTTTCGGATCAGTAGGGGCACTTGCCGCCAATGCCCCCTACCCTCTGGATCCGTCCCTGCAGCACTGTTATGAAGCTTAAATTAAAGACGATTTTTTAAAATGCTACGCATGAGATAAAATGGAGGATGGGTGGCCGTGGTGCCCTTGGTTAGGTTAGGTTAGCTTAGGTTAGTTTTTTTTATTATAAACTGTCGTTATTATATCGTTATTATATCGTATCGTATATCGTTTGTCGTTATTATAGGTTAGTTAGTTCGCACCTTGGTTTGCCCCCCATCATTTACAAAAAATTGACACCCCTGGTGCTTCCATAAAACTTTAGGGCAGGGCTCACACACCCTACGCATGAGGGCGAGGGTTCACATGTTAAATAATAAAAAGTGTACTAAAAACAGCTTGGAATTTCCACGTAAAACACAATCAAGTACAATCAATTTAAAGAATAGTGTTCGTGTGAAAGAGTTAGTTAGTTTTCCGGAGGATCATCGACTTGATTCGAAAACAGACTTTGAAAAGGAAGGGTTTCTATTAGCCAAAGAGTTGCAAGGCAAATGTAAAATAGGCGATTGGAAGGGCGGCGTCGCGCACTCCGAAGTCGTCGTCTTCGTCGTCCTAAACGCTGGCGCGGCTCGCGTCGAGCCGCGCCGTCGGAGCCTGAACGTGGACTGATAGGCATAGACCGTGTGTCCCTGCCCGCGTGTTCCATAAAGCCACGTGGTCCGCATATGGGCTCCAGATGGTGGGGACCAATCGGCAGAGGGGCCGCTCACACCATCGCGGAGACGCCGCCGCCGCGCCGACAGCGACGGCCCGTTTGCTCGCTTACAAATAGCATGTAAAGACAATAATTACTAACGTCCCTATTTCTCGTAGAAAACCAAAAGAATAGAGAGATTTGGCATGCAGCCGAAATATCAATGCATTTGTGTCTCCATCTTCCTGGCCATTCTACGAGGAACAAGGTCATAAGCATCATTCTCCTTGTTTATTGTACTACGTTCCTTGCAAATGCAGGCAACAACTTACGAAAGAATAGCCTCGCAACTCTATTATCAAAATCAGGGAAATGATCTCGGGATTTGCATGCAAATTGTCAAATTGCAGTTGGTATCATTTGGTGTGTTTTAATTGACGTGCGTGCATTTTGTCATAAGAAGGTATACTATCATAAGTTGCGATCGCCCCACATTTGTCCCTAGTACCCTATATAGGTCAAATCAAAATATATATAGATAAGCATGCCAAGGGCCATGAGTGTAACCACCGGGGAAGTTAATATATCCCCAATTTCACGAAAAGGGATCTCCTTGCCTGGGAAATGTACGCACTTTAACGTTTTCCGTCATTACTACTTAAATATACTGGAATTATTGATTTATGTTAGGCTATATCCCTCTGGTTCCCGTTGACCTCTCCAATCAAGGTTCCCCGTCCCCTACCCCCATCACGGAGACGCGGTTATGTTCATGCCTGAGAACACACAAAACGATACAAAAAACGTTTCCCATGATCACGATGGCTATCCAACATTTACTGAAAAGCTATCCTCAGTTTGGCATGGACATACACCTGCGTCAAAAATTAGCTGTTGCATTACAAACCTTTCCGGCTTCCACTACAGACTCTCAATTTTTTAGCCACAGGTATTTCTGTTGCGGCGAGAAATGCAGCAACGTAAATACCCATCGGGGACCAGTCTAGTTGCCACTTCCACGCGCTGCCACTCACTTATCAGACCATGCGTCAAGGCGAACAGAATTGAGACGCACATACAAGCATGAACTTTCATCCCCCTTCCCAGATACTCTCATGATCAGTCATTTTGGTAATAGCTGATGACGCTTGTGACGCAGATGTTTTCGGCATCGGCAGATTCGGATCCCAAAATTGGGACGCCGAAATCGTGACGTGCCGAACATAAGGGCCAATAACTCATTTCTCCTTTAACAGAAAGCAAATATGTTGGGTTCAAAATGTTGTGCAAGCATGTTAGTCTCAAGTTGAATTCCTAGGCGATAAATGATAATATAGACGCTCTCCGATTTCAAGTGGGTGTCGACATCAGTTGGAGAGTGCGTGTTCACCTTTCGGATACTTTTGTCCGACACACCTGAGAAATAAAAAGTGACCATCAACTGTCATTAAAGTCACAAAAAGTCACAAAAAATAATAATTTTCGGACTTGGGGAGGCTCTGGGAGACCTGAATTCGCAACCAGAGTAACTGGGATTTATTGTTTATTTGGAACAACCCTGGTCGAAACGAGGGATACATATTTCAACAAAATAGGACGGAACATATTTTTGAACCATTTTGCGACGGTTAGAAAAACGTTTGGAATGTGAATACGAGCCAGCAAACTTTTTGAAAGCAGTGATGCAAAGCACAAGCCGTGTTTTTAAGATGGGAAAACTTAAAATTGGTTTCAGGTCATTTTGCTCCTCATTTTTGGGGAGAGCCCTGGTATTTCTGTTGATTTGGCACCAATGTGGAAGCATCATTTTATTACCGTTACAATAGCTAAGCACTGAAGACACATACAAACTTTCCATAAGCCACCAAATAAAGGCTTATCTCCAGGTCTGGGAAGGCCCTGGGGTGGGCTGGCGCTTCGTGAATGTTGCGATTTTCATCGTTGTCACATTGAAACGTGTTGCCATCGTTGTCACACATGTATTACCATGCAATCTAGGAACCTGGTGAAGCCCCTGAGGAGAAGCATTTAAATTGATGTTAAAAAACAACGTGATTAATTGTGGATTTTCACCCAAGTCTCCTGACTGCAAGACGCTGCCATACGAATTGGGGAGGGGGGGGGGGGCAAGCCAGCTGCACAGAAAAACCTTGCTGTTGTCTCGGGCGGCCTATTAAGCTACGACAGCGGCTGTCGCGTGCCCATTGATGCTGGTTGACACTGACGGATACGTCTAAATATATTTTGCTGGGAGGACCACTAGCAGACACTCGCGTCTCAACACCAATGCATAGTCGTCTACTGCCAAATGAGCGCGGCGGTGTGCACTGGAGAAGACAGTGCCCGTTACAATGCCGGACGTTTTCGGCGCTTGCGGCCAAATTATGGCGTAATGAGGACATGTATTTTGGTTGAATGCTGTTCACCGTGAGCCGGGCTTTGCGACGGTGTCATCTGCATGGTCCCAGCTCGCCCCGTTCAGGAGCTAACGTGTTGTACTTGAGAGTGCTTTGGAAAATCCCGACAGATGTGTCTTCACGGTCCACTGCTGGTGTCGCCACGGTTCGGACCGTGTTGGGCCGATGGGTGATTTGTCGGTGGCACACGCGCCTGCACGATGCACTCAGTTCCAAGTTGTTATCTGCTCGGGCTGCCAAAATCTGAAGTCAATCGTGAAAAACGGCTGAAGGCTGTTGAATCCACGGTTTGCGCACGAGCATTCGAGCGTACGCGCACCTCAGCAGTCATCGATTCCCGGTTCCGTCTGTACAATCGTCAGTTCCTTTCCCCGTATAAATGTGTTGATTCTGTTTCACTGCGACCTTTCGTTACTGAGCTGCGAGCCGCATGTGGTCAAGCGTTTCCGTCGAATTTTACGCTCCACGTGTTTAGCCAACGGCGCACGTGTGCACGTACTGACGGCGCCCGGCCGGTCGGATGTCGTCCGACCCTGCTGTGTTTGCCGCGCACGACATTTCACACAAAAACCTGTGACTGGTTTGGAGGTGTGAAGGCTATGAGCTGTGAGCTGCTACAAGCTATGCGATCTGAACCAGTGAACCATTTGAACCAAAAAAAAAACATCGAACATTTGAACAAAAAAAAAAACATTGAACATTTGAACAAAAAAAAAAATTGAACATTTGAACCAAAAAAAAGGTTACGAGCTATGAACTATTTTAAGTTATGAGCTTTGAGCAATTACAAATTTAGATAAAACGACCTCATCGATAAAGAAGACGATTTTGGGGTGGGGGTGGGGGGGAGGCGATCATGTACAAGATAATTATGTGAAGCCAGATATATCCTTTTATCTGCACATGACTCAGATCTGACAGCAATGCACCCAATATCTGACAGTCGAACGCTTGTTGGCCGTTACACAATAATTTAGCGTGCGGTTAAACAAGAGGAAATCATTGGCGAGTGTTAGCAACCATTCTGATGCTGAAATACGCCGATCGAAATGTTTTATAGGTATGTTTTATCGCAGTAAACTAGACTATGAGACTTAACTAGGCATGCTCCAGCTCGTTCCATATGCTTACTGGTAGCGCGTAATGATATGCTGACAATCGATTACTAATTGGAAAATTGTTATGATTTTCTAGCCTTTTACCAGAGCCCTGAAGAAGTCTCACGTGAATTCAGAATCAACAGGAGGGAGGATTTATAATCCCAAAACAGAGCACCACAAATGATTTTAGGTTAGTGAACTATGATGAACTTTTGATGTAGGCATGCCATTTATAAGTCAAGGAGCGACACCACCAGGTGGGAGGTGAATTAATCCAGCGAACTACCATAGAAGGCCACGTATAACCAACAGTCAGAATTAAGGTACGTCTTAGGTCAATACCCGTGATGACCTTAAAATATTACCTGCAGGGGAGCGCATATCAGATATGACAATATCAGGCATAACTATCCGACATGAAAGCGAAAAAGAACGAAGTAGTTCGTCGGAAATATGTAATCGCTCATCTTCAGCAACGAACAGGCCCAAAACACAACAAAACACATGCTGGTGGGATCTGAGTGCGGTGCTTGAGGACAGACCCCTAGACGTTCGGTTATGCTACAGAGGAACTTGTTCGCACTTGCTAACTCCCCACCGCTCATTTCGGGCAGGTGGCGCGGCACTTCTACGACACCGAGATGAAGATCGAGCTGGTGCGCGAAGACTCCTTCATGGACTCGTTCCACGTGACGTTTCAGCTGACGTTCGACAACCAAGCTTACCGCGAGGCGCACTCGTTCCAGCTGGTGCGGGACGAGCAGAGCCTGCCCATCAGAGCCAGCATCATCTTCGAGCTGTTTCCATTCTCCATTGCCTTCACGTGAGATGACACTGTGACCCGATCGGGCTTGTAATAACTGCGAAGCCGCATGTCCCATCGCTGTGATGTCAGCAAGCTCAGCGAGACCGTGGAGCGACATTGTCCCTTTACAGAAACGTCTTCAAATTAAGTTCGTCACATCTTTTCGGATTTTATCCCCCTCCCAAGTCGGCGCTGCCTCCCTCCAGGGCGGTGTTTTGGATCTGTCCGTGGTGGCAGAGCCGCAAGCATTTTCCGGTCAGCCCTCGCAGCGGCAAAGGAGGCAGCTGGACAGCCGGAGACAGCGGAGAGCCGGCCAGAGCCGCTCTGGCCTGGTTGTTTTTGTCCCCGCTCCCCCCCCCCCCCCCCGACTGTGCTCGGATGACAAAAGATGCCCCACTGCGGCCGTCACACCCAGCCGGCTATCGGTATTGCACGGGACGCGCGCCGGAGCGATTGTACCGGACATGGGCCCTCGTTTCCAGGACTCACACCCGTCACGGTTGGTCGCGAATATTGTGATAATAATGAAAAGAAACTCCTACATCGGCTTACCGCGAATCCGCGACCACCTGGGAATAAAAGGAGCCTTCTTGCCCTGGATTTGTGTAATAGCTTCCGAACCGTGCTGGGCTGGTCCGCCAAATAGACGGTGCCAGACAGGTGCTCAATTTCACTCGGTCTGGGTGAACACCCGTGATATAAGGTCAGGTCACTGAGTTTTGACGTCATCAACGAGGGTTTACGGAGCGGTTTTGGCCTCCTCAGGCACAAGTTCACCCTTTGTTTTCTTGTTCTTCATCGCTTCGACGTAATTCATCTACTAGTTGGACTGTCGCATCTGAAACGGCTCGCACGGTGTGTACCTCAGAAACCGCATGTCACCAGGTCACCACCAGAGCTCAAATCAGGTCCCCATCAGCGGTCACGGGAGGCTAACTTCAAAGTGTGGAGCCAACGTGGTGTGTTACGTCTGTTTGTGATGAATTAGTCCGATGACGCGTTGCAGCCGATACATTTCCAAACCAGTCACTATGAGACAGTATATCAACCGGGAAAAATAAAGACGACCTGATTATTACCTGGTATGAACTATACGTGACTTGACCGAGACCCTAGTTAAATCTTGGTATGGTTCTGAGGCACCAGATTACGCTTGTTCGATTGCTGTTTATTGTAATGTTATACAGGCCATATCAATTTGTATATATATATATATATATATATATATATATATATATATATATATATATATATATATTACGCGATAAAAAGTTGGCTTGGTGTAAATACTGTGTTTTAGCCTTTAATCGTATATTCCGCGCTAATTCACCTACGAAGTCGTGGTTGTATATAGTGAAATGAGTTTCATGTATTCAGACAATTTAAAGTGAACATCTTTGTTGAGGTGTGACCAATGCAAGAGAGCGCTATTGATGCATGAAATCTGTCAGTGGCTTAAGATTTTCCAAAGTCCCACGGTTTGGGCTCAACTTGCTTCCGTTAAGTCCTTCAGTGTTGGCTAAGATGTCGGTGCATGACCAGTCCATGCGAGGAGCACTGATAATTTTGTGGTTCATCATTAGCACATCATGTAAGATATGGCACATTCTATCTGCTCAACGTGTCGTTTGCTCTGATGGGTAATTATTTTGATTTTGTGGCTCCTTTGCCCTGGATATTTTCAGAACAATTCCTGGCGGGAGGCACAAGCTCAGATCAAACAGCGTGAGGTTTTCGGTAGAATAAAGTATAATTAGATTTTTAAGTGGTTTTAAGTTAAGTTTAACTCGTTCAGCTTGTGATGCAACGAGTTAGTAGTGACTAACCCGTTGGAACTCGTGATGAATTGCATTGTTGGAATGCAATTCATCAAATGATTTCACTGATTCAGCGGCTGTTTGCGGCTGTTTGACTGATATTGGTTAGTTTCACAAGGCTCTTTTGGGTGGTCCAGCGCAATACGTGGCACTTGTGACCGTGTGATTCGTCTGTTGTATAGGCAGCAGCTGCCCAGAAGCGCTTATTAAACTTAGATCATCAGTTTTATGTCCGGAATCCCAAGACGTCCGAGCTTAACTGGAAAGATGCTAGCTGGAAAGATGCCAACGAGTTCAGCAGAAGTCCCATTAGTCCGAATGCCCAGCTGAGCATAACTTGTATCAGCGGACGCTCTGTCTCCTGCCAAGCTTTAGTGGCGTGCGGATATCCACAAAAAAACATGGGATGACGGGACCTGCTCCTTCAAGGCAATGGTTTCTATGCATCACCATAGGGCGCCAATATCAAGTTTAAGCAAAAGGCCGGTGGGCATTGTCCGCTAAGACTCGCCTGGTGCCTGAGCGTGCGCGAGTGCTCATGTCTCTATGCGAGCCACTCCTACCGGTTCGGGAATCAAATTCTCCCTGTTTCTCCGCCGCCGCCATCTTACGTTCTTCGTGGCTTTGGCGATTGCGGTCACTGTTTCAGTCCATCGGATGGTGTACGGCAGTTATCCCGAGCATGACCCTGCGTGGCTCAGGTCATGGCAACATCATGCTGTTGACCCCAGGACCTTTAAACGTGACCTTGCACAGGTTACTCGAGTTGCCCTGGCGATAACACTGCTTCACTTCGCTGTGACATCTAGGACACGCTGCCGACTGCTGTTCGGGCCTGGTGACGACCCTGTTGCGGTGTTTCCCAGTCTGACCCGGCGGTGACCTGGCATCCCTGACCCCACAGGGCTGACCTGACGGTGCGAAACCTCGGCCAGTCGATTCTCACCATCCTGCCGGACCTGCTGGGAAAGCGGCTCAACGACTGGTTCGACCTGGTCCGCCCCCTGGTCGAGTTCCGCTTCGCATCCGTAAGATGGCGCACGAGTCGGGGGAGTGCACGAATCGGGTGGAGGGGGGGGGGGGGGGGGGGGGGCTGCACAACGCACACGACTGGGACCATCGTCGGCCAAATATCCCGTACTTTTCTTATCGCAGGTACTCCTTAATGTTGAAACTTGGCATATTCGGCGTTGTCTGGAAACAGTTGGCTTACGCTATAATGCTCCTCCTCCCCACGGGTATTTGTGAAAGCTTCACATCTACCCAGGGCGGCACTTTGGTTTCACTTCACCGACCCAGCGCCCCAGACCAGAGATAACGGTTTCGTTTGAAAGTGAGTGCAGACATGGCGGGCTGGAGACACTTCGTCACCGGCTCGATTATCGTCTGATATACCGCATGTCTTCGGCGTAGGGGATAGCCCGTCCCACCACAAATGGCATCAGCGCGCTGCGTGGCACAAAAGCGATGCGGAGTGCCGGGTACGGAGTACGGAGTATTTGTGGCTAATTGGTTTCGTGCCTTGGTTTTAAGCATATCTTGGGAACCTGTTGCACTGCGCGCCCACATGCGTTTGATTCTGCGCGTCAGTGCTACCCCCATGCACTTACAACATAAGCTCGTTCGGCTTCACAAATTTGCAAAATTAACACACTGCAGTGCATACTTTTAAAGAAAAAAATTGTAGCGCATAGTTCCAAATACACATCTGAGTTTTATATTTAGACTTTGTGCGTTTAGTATCTTTATGTGTTTGATGCCTTCTGCTATCTTCTGCGTTTAGTATTTCTAAACATTTAGTATTTGACGTCATGGAGTCGTAACGAACCGAACGTACCGAACATTGTAAAGCACCGGAGACTATACAGACCATCTCGTTGATGGACTGCGAGCAAATACTAATGCATCTTATCTTGCCTTTTGAATCTCTGCTCAGAACTTTTTGAATGCATGGATAGCTGGTGTTAGTGGTCACGCTAACCAGCGCTTGTTGCGTGAGCCCTGACCCCGTCACCCGATCGTGAAATCCCAGGTGAGCGACAAAGTTTGGTGACAAAAGTATAACGTGCCGCAATGCTCAGTGCGGTAAATACAAACACGAGATTGCCAAAATTTGGACTACTTGGAGGGCGGAGTCAGCGTCAGCACAAGTTGAGTTTGCCGAGAACATGGTTCAAACACAACTGCAGCGAATATTTTGAATTTAAATTAAAAAAGGAATGCAACGGGTGCCGAGCGTCGGACTTACGCAGCGTGTAGCAAGTGAAATGAAGTAGTGGCAGAAGTGTTCTATCACATCCAACACGATGCCATCTCGGCTTAGGCGATGTCTCGGACGTCTGCGGTTGGTGAAGCAGTCACCGTTTGGGTTTTACTTTTGCCCATGAGAAGCCGTAATTTAAGGAATTACACCTCCTTTTGAAACATACGCTATGCGCTAAGGCCTCGTTTGTGGTACAGCCTTCACCGCAGGAGTCATTGACTCATCTATTTAATTGATGTGCACTCACGACGTATTTCCCTTGGATAATGGTTCAGACTGAGAGGCTAGCTGGCGAGCATTGCGCATGAGAGCTCTCTACAAATTAGACGCCTTTGATTGGCCGCCATCGTCCGCAATGGCTGCAAAGTTTATTTTCTTGTAACGATCAGCGCGATTGCTTTTGCGTCAGCCAATCAGTGCCGCCTGTTCAGCGGTGGCAGCTCGGGGCGGAGCGAGCCTCACGGATACCGACTCAATTGAAGCTGGCAGACGGAGGTAGGCGGAACACCAGCACTGCCGCACCTTGCTGCCGCGCCGAACACTCGAGGCACGTTTTCATTGCATTCCGGCTGAAGGCCTTGCAGACTTGTTTTATTTGGAGGCATTCACTTGCGACAGATTTGTAGCAGATCGGAGATCAGGTATGAATGCGGAGCTATTCGCTATGCTTTGCTATGAGCCATGATTCCAAGCAAGTTATGTGGGAATCAGTACCAGTCCGCGGTAAATCACCAGCGGGGAGGCATCTGATGAGCAGGCACGCACGGTGTGCGTACGATGGATCAAATGGAAAAAGTCGACAGGGATAAAAGTCAGACCAGAAAAAAGTTAATGGACATAAATTCAGAAGCAACAAAAGTCAACAGGGATAAAACTGAATCGGAAAAAATCGGACGACAAAAAGTGGAAAGTGGAAATGGAGGAAGCTCAATTAAAGGAGTTCAGGGACTATAGTTGACAGAGGTAAGTCGAAAGCAAAGAATCGATAGATGAAAATTCCAAAGGGGCAAAGCCGGCAGGAAATCCACGAGGGACTACTAAGTGCTTACTATGACATGTTCATTATCATAAGCAGAGCTTAAAACGCCGAGTGCTCACAATGTAACCCATGTTTACACTATGACGTCGTTTAACCTTACCTCCCGGTGTATTAAAGACAGGTAACTCGGCACAGGCCTGGGAACTCTGAACTCATCATGCCGCACACAGGGGTGTAGTATCCTATTCAGTTGGGCGAAAGGGCTGAACCTTCCTTATCCCAACTTTGGGCTTTGGAAAGGAACTGGGTCGTATCCGGGAAGGTCCTTTTATTGGCGTGTTTGTTTCATTTTCCCGTGCTCAGCTCCCCAACCTAAACTGAACAACTACTTCCCCTGGCCGAATATCCGGCAACTGAAGCTCTGGTTAGCTGAGAGTTAACGGACCGAAAATTCCACCAACACCACCAAATGTGAAACATTCCCTTTAAAGGGAGTGTTGGACGTTTGCATAGGCTTGTGAACTGAAAAAGCCACCTTGAAGATCAGCCGGTGCAGTTCGCAGCCCTGTCCTTCTTAACACCAACTCTCCTAGTTTTTGAGCTACAAACCCGCAAAAATGTGAAGACTTTTTCAAGGAGACTATTTCAACGTCACCCAGTCATCCATGGTGTCCTAATATCGTCATTTAAATCTTCCAGTTCCATTAGCCATGTGCAAGCCAACTCCTAGACAAATGTGATTGTCGATTCGTTCATATCTGGCGTTCGTGAGCGCGATCTCCAGACATAACGACCGTCAGTTGGCTTTCAATCAATGTTATGCATGGCATGATGACGTAATTAAACAATGACATATTGAGGAGAATACTTAGTTAACAGTGAAAGTGTGTCGTGTAGAGCAGTCTTTTCCGCTTAAAAATATACCAGCGATCATAAGTGACCTTATTTCGGCATATCTGATGCTTTCTTCAATATTTTCAAAGATGAAACATTTCCATTAAGTTGTGTTGGCCCGAGCTATCTTTTGCACCTAAATGCAAACAACAGTTACAAGCAGGCTTATTCCGTTATTTATGATGCTCGCCCTAGTACCTCAAGTGTGAAACACTCCTTTTAACAACTTCAAACATTTCTCTTCCGCCGCAGATTTTGAAGAAAACCAATAACATTTTTGAGCTCATTTCCATCGACGCACCATCCCAGCTGAACAGCATGAGCACCAATGGGAAGGACGGTCTGCACCCAGAAATTGACGATGCGACCATGATCAGGGAGAAGAACCTCCGCCTGAAAGGTTGGCTGGGAGGACCTGTGTGCTTGCCAGCGCTCGCGCTCGCGTTTAGCGCGACGCTGAGAAGGAGGAGTGGGCATTTGCGTTTGCTAATGTTAGATAGCGGTACTTGGTTGCTGGGGGTTGAAGAGTTCATTTCTTCCAAGTTGCAAATCAGCAGCATTTCATTTATACGCTGGGCTTCACCGGCCTAGTCCAATCAGCCTTTGCATGAAGAGGGTGGTCGCGCTGGGAGGCCGTCACTAAGCACAAAAGCTGCCCCCAGTCCAGCCTGATCCCCTCCACCTGATTTCCATGTGACACGGTGTTGGAGAGGTCGGCCGCAGCCGCGAGACTGGACTGTGAGTCATGCCAGAGCTCGACCTGCCTTCAGGCCAGATGATGTACTTCGACGATTGGAAGATGATCCTGTTTCTGGGCACGCCGGTCATGCCCGACCTGGAGGCCATGATCCATACGGGGCTGTTCATCAACGACCTCTCCATGCACGACTTCAGCAGGTGAGTGACCGGCTGTCACCGCCCCCTCCCCCCTCCCCTTCCTCTGGCGGGCTGTGAGGGCCGTGTGGCAGTGAGCGAACGCAATGCTCGTCGGCACACTGTCAATGGCGCGCTCGCCATCTGTCAGCCTGGCGAGGCGCGGTGTCTGGCTGCCTGTTCGCAGATCGCAGGCTTCCAGCCATTCTGACACCGCGCGACCGACAGTGGTACGATGCAGCGAAAAAGAGGCGAGGGCTTTAGAATATTGACATCGCGCTTGACGCACTGCATAAACTTGGTGTTGTTCACTTTGGGATGAAATAAGGAGCCAGACAGATGATGTTTGGCCCAACAGCATGATCAAAAGGCGTTGCGTTTATGGTGTTGGTCTGACATCCCAGAGCAGTGGTGAGAGTCGAGAGTTAAGCAGAACGTGCATGGCGCGCTGGCATCGTCGGGATGATGGATATCCTCGATTATCGAATGCGGCAAAACCACGGACACGGTTTCTTCAGCTATTTTGTATCATTCTGTAGGTACATAAATTGTTTATCCCCGTGTACCATCAAACCTTATCACACATGCGGCCTTGAGCACAAACAGCAGCAATGCCGAATCCTTTTCGTTGTTGATGCCTGCAGCACTGCGAATAAATTGCAGGATTTCACACACCCTGTGAGCGGCCAACATCCTTTCCTCATTTTGACCGCGCCCAAGCCGCGCGAATGGCAGCACACTCATACCCCACTGCGCGACGGGGCTTCAGATTTCCCTAAGCACTCGCGCGACACCCGGACGTGAATGGAGGGGCGGTCCGCTGGAGCACTTCGGCTCACCACGTAGGCGACGCGCACTGCATATCCGCCCGCCCGTGGACGATCTCGCGCCGTGAATACCGATCAGGGAGCGGGGTGGGAACCCGGCGTTAGTTCCGCCTCCTGCCGCCAGGGATCTGATGCTGGCCGGCACGCAGCAGTCGATCGAGCTGAAGCTGGCGCTCGACCAGGAGCAGCTCAAGTCCAAGAAGCTGGAGGAGTCGATGCGCAAGCTGGACGAGGAGATGCGCCGCACGGACGAGCTGCTGTACCAGATGATTCCCAAGGAGGTGGCCAACCGCCTGCGGAAGGGCGAGAACCCGGTGGACACGTGTGAGGTAACGCCCTGGAGTCCTCGAGAACACTGATTTCCGTGAACAGTCCCTCCCTCGGTACAGTTGTATTAAGCAAATTTCAACCGATATCTCTGTTTTGTGGAAATTCGAAAGCGTTTCCAGCCATCGATTTCCTTCAAAATGAAGGACAGTGATTTGTAATACCCTTCCAGCGCTATCTCCACCCGATTAATGCAGACATGGAAAGGACTTATCTATGTTCATAATTTTACTTTTCTAATGCTTCGGAGCTGCGGTGTTGTCGTCGGTTTTTGTCGCCTGGGCTCGCCCTTGTGGTGCTGATAATGATCCAATCCCCGGCAGCGTTTTTAGAAACCGACGAAGGTGAAGGTCATTTAAAGTCAAAGGAGAGCCGTTTTGTTTTCGGGGTGCCATTGAACAGTGGAGATACCCCTCGTTCTTCTTAAAAATAAACTGCACATGTCACTTCGAAGCCTGTTTTGATGTATTTAAGTAAACGTGAAAAGCTTAGCATTGATTTATTTCCTAATGCCACATTAGGCATGTCCCCCTGCAGATGGCGATCCATGCATGATGCCTAGCGTATTTTGAAGATCAAAAACAAGTTGGTCTCTATTTCAATATCCATGCTTACGAAACCCAGATGTTGCCTTATTGATCCTATTCTGATGCGATAACCGTTTTGAGAAACAAAATCATTCCAACAAATATATTTATGCCATGTTTCCACAACTCCCCCCCCAGGGATATCGACCAATCCCCAGCGAGACAGAGCTGTTTTCTGTGGTGTTTACGAAACCATCACGAAAAAGTGATGTGACGCATGCCACTTCGGACACCGCTAACGCGGTTACCACCATGCTCTAACCATGGGACACCAACTACGTCATCTCTTTCGAGTCTCCCAGCAACTGCCATGCACGCGAGCGGAAGTTTTCTTCTTCATGCAAAGGGACTTGCCCTTGCTGCAAGTTGAAGAGCGTGTTGGTTGCTTAAACACCTTCTTCCGGGCCAATGTCGGGTGCCTCCGTCGACTACGGGTTATTGTAGCATTGGATGTCCGGTCCTGTCGCCGTGTCGCGAATTTTGGGCACAGGACCCAGCAAATATTATCGAGAAATCGAGGAGCAGTAGCTCCACAGGTGCCAGTCGTCTCAGGATGCCTTGCATGACGCGTCCTTGGAAGCAGGGCTGTTTACCTGTGTAAATTGTTACAATGAATGACGTAAGTAATGAATGACGTCCGACGCGCGCCAGTCTCATTCCGATGTGAGACGCCGGGCCCGCACATGCCACCCGCGCCGCAGGTGTTCGACAGCGTCACCATCATCTTCTCTGACGTGGTCACCTTCACCGAGATCTGCAGCCGGCTCTCACCCATGCAGGTGGTCTCCATGCTGAACTCCATGTACTCCATCTTCGACCAGCTGACGGAGCTCAACGAAGTCTACAAGGTACCGTAGCCCGCGGGTGGCGGCTGGCGTCCGGTCGCTGATAATGTACGCTCGCAGCGCGGCACTGTTGTCGCTCGAGGCAGTCTAGTTTGGCCTCTCTTGGCTCCTCAAAGGTTTGCTGATCTCGCCTGTTCGTTGGACGGAGCCCATGCATCCTGATGAGCTTCATTAAGTTTCCTCAGCTTAGCACTATTGCTGAAAGCGTAATCCCCAGCCTCAGAGGGGAATTTCGGCACAATGAAAGATAACTAAGGTCGTCAGCATTCACTTGGATGGCGGGCATGGCATGAATAGGTGGGGAGAATGACGGAGATCTGTCCAAAATCTCCCACTCTGCTGTCGTCATCTCTACGGAGTTTTTCTCCGAGTACTGCAGAACTGGGCTGGAGATAGAGGAGAAAGCCAGGAACGTCCTTTTGATCAACTCGTCACAGTTTGTTACATCGGTAATTTTAAGCTACAGGTTCCGCACCCGATGTGACAGAACGAAAGCTAAAAAATGTAGAGGTGCCCACGCACATGAACTAAGACCTTTTCTCGCGTCATTTTGCGATGTGTATTATGGCTGCCTCGTCAAGTGTAGTCAGACTGCGCCCAACGACGTTTTTATCCGTTCCACGTAGCTTTGCATATGGGTCTAAGACGGCATGCAGACTTGTGAAAACCACTGACGAACGGGAGACCGGAAGACGCCTCCAAAAATATCTCCCACGCTCCTTGACCGAACTGTTTTTTTTTTATTCGGCACGTGAAACTGCGCACCCAATAATGTGTGATCAAAATTCAGGACGGTCAATATCCACGTTTTTGTGTTAAGGCGAACTACGAAGAGTCGGCTGGAAGTTCCCGTCTTGAATCCAAAAGTCAAACACAAAAGTAGAGATCCAAACTGTACAAGTTCATTACGGGGACGATTTGTGGCCGACCGGGCCCATTTTAAGCAGAGGGTGCACGCACACAGTTGAGTTCAAGCAGTATTATGACCTGGCCGAATGGGTCGATGCTCAACTTACAGAACATTTCAACTCCGCCTTCGGTTCGCTCAAACTCACGCGGACTGCGGCCGTCCTGGCAGGATTAATGGTTGCATGATTAATGGTAGCATAGTCATAGTTGCCATCACCGGATTCCGACTTGGGGCGCGAGCATTGTGTGCATATGTCTTCATCCGACAGCCTCACGCTGCTTTTGCTATGGACCGGGACGTGTCTGGGAGATACAAAACCCGGTAGTACTAGGGCCTGTGGAATGCTACAACGCCAGCGACCCAGCACGATCCCGTAAGTGAATCATCTTACACCAGCTTCGATCAAACCAACGGCATCGGGTCCGGACCTGGCGCAGCAGAACAGGCTCTGCCATTTCTCTACAATGAGATCCTGAATACCCAGCCCGGGTCTACCCCGCCCTGGAGAAGGCCTGGCCCACCCCGTCCTGACCGAAGTCTGGTCCACTCTGACCTAGGCTTGGCTCGTCCTGGCAGAGGCCCGACCGGCCAGGCACTGACCGAGGCCCGGCCCGTCCTGGCCCAGCCTGGCTTGGACTGGCCCGTACTGGTCGGGCCTGGACCCGCCCCGCCCGCCCCGCCCGGCCCGGCCCGGCCCGGCCGGTCCGGCCCGTCACGCGGTGTCTGCGTTCCTAGGTCGAGACGATCGGCGACGCCTACATGGTGGTGGCCGGTGCGCCCGAGAAACGCGATAACCACGCCGAGCGTATCTGCGACATGGCGCTCGACATGGTGGAGGGCATCACAGGCCTGACGGATCCGTCCACAGGTGCGTGGCCGGCGGCAGACGGCGTGATAAACACGCGCTCATCACGTGTCTCACGAGCATGTACACATGTGTGTGTGGCCGGCGGCAGGCGGTATGGTAAATGCGCGGTAATTATGGACCTCACCAGCCTGTACACCGGTGCGTGATGGAAGATTTTTTTCCTTCCATTTACAAGTCTTGTGTGTTAGCATATGTACAGCACTTCGGTCAACTAGGTCTCCCGCCGTCGTCAGATGTTTTTTGGTCCCGAGAATGACTGGCTGGTTTGGGCTTTCAGCCATGTACGCGCCGCAGCGTTAAAAAGTGGCGCGGTGTATTGGGATGGCAGGGGGGGGGGGGGGCAGCACTGCTTTTTTTGTAAAGGAAAGTCACGACTGCTGTGAAAATGTATCCCAGTGACAAAGCTGAATGGAACAGTTTCAATATCGCATGGAGCGGAAGCCGGGGTCACAAGTTAAAACCTGCGTGTGTTAGGAAACAAAACTTAAAAGTCCAAGTTAAAGAGCCGAAGTCAAAGCCGAAGGCAGCGTTTTAAAATGTCACCAAACTTAAAGCCCAAGACCACGCCAACTGCTCAAAATCACGCGAAGCCGAAGCCAGCCGTGAAAATAGCCCAAATTCGAAGCCGAATCCGAAGCCACTGGAGGACAGCTGCGGCTTCGCGAAGTCAAAGCCGAGGAGGGAACCAGTGTCCTCCCACGCTTGATGAATTCGTCCACGGCATCGCGTCGGTGCGCGCGTCCCGTCCGTCTGACAGGAACACCGAACATCTGTCTGTACGTAGTGGCGATCACGCTAGACGCGTGTCTGCCGGTTACGTTGGGGCCACCGGCTTGCATGGGTCACACTGCAAGCCGCCAGTCTGTGGCTCACCCCGACCCGCTGAGGTCCGTCCCTCGGAGTTAAATTTTTATGTCTGTCGGGCAACACCAGGGCTCCGTGCTCGGCGATGATGTCACATGTCACTTGCCACATGTTGAATGTCACATGTCACATGTCAATGCCGTGATATCCGAGATCAGCGCATCCGACGCTCCAAGAAGAACGTTGTAAGTCCAGGTAGGGCGACAGGTCAAGCCAACTGATTCAGCCCTGGAGGAGGACGAAGCCATGGCGGAGTTAGAGGTGACCATGTTGCACAGTTCTTTGCATGTTACGCGGCCAAAAGCAGAATCTTCCATCACGCTGTTAATATGCAATTGAGAGCTGCCCATTTTCCCGACGCCCACGATCGTCAGCATCTGCTGGCACTTTATGGACGCTGTTGTGTACACAACCGCGGCTGGCCGCGCTCACTTCGCCTCTCGGTCAAGTTCCGAAAGGGCTGCGGTAATGACGTCACAGGCTAGCCAGAGAACTACGGGACAGGTCGTAATGGGCTTACCCATCCGAACTGCTTTCATCCGAAGTAGTGAAACGGCTTCCAGCTACCGACGGGGAACGGTGCCTAACGTTTCAAATGCAGTGGCCGGGTCACAACGGACGCGCGCGGTGCGGTGGGTAGGAGTTGCAGCGTCGGGGACGTCGCTCGTGGCCGAGGCCACCGTCAGAGCTGATCATCGGACCCGGTCCCAGAAAGTGGTCCAGACTGGCCGACCGCCGCGGCCGCCTGGCGTGCATCGACCGCTCAGGATCACGAGTCAATCACGGTTGCTGCGGTTATTAGTAGTGCACGCCTCTCACGGCACGACCAACGGCTGCGCTTCCCCGGGCCGTCATTCATTTGGGCCTGGGGCTCCACGCGGCGCCCGGGCCTGGGCGAAGAGACCACACGCCGGATTACGTCATTGGTCCGGCCGGAGCTTATGACGGCTCACACGGCGCCTGGACGAGGAAACTACACGCCAGATTACGTCACTGGGTCCAGCCGAAGCTTATGACAATTCACACGGCGCCCTGACCTGGGCGAGCAAACCACGCTCCGGTTTACATCACTGGGCCCGGCCGAAGCTCCGCCAGGGTTTACTACGACTCTATCCACGCGGCAGCCGGGCCTTGGTGAGCAGAACGCGCACAGGCTGACGTCACTGGGCCTGGGCAGAGTTTATTACGACTCTATCCACGCGGCAGCCGGACCTTGGTGATCAGAGCGCGCACCGGCTGATATCACTGGGTCTGGCCCGAGCTTGAGAAGCGACGACGCATGTTCGCTGAAGGTTCCGTGTAAGTGGTAAGTGACGTACCATGCGTGATAGGACCAGCTGAGAAGAATTAAAGGAAGGTGACGGCGGGGAAGCGACCCGCTTCCCATCCTGAAAATAAAAGACATGACCCGCGTGGTGTTGCATGGTTGGGAAGTTTGCGACCTATCTTTATCCCTCCCCGCTCCGTTTCGAGCGTGCCGCGGACTTTAATAAGCTGCGGCCTGAAGCATTGCCAAATATTGCTTTCCTGCCCACATCCCCGACGTCGCGCGACGTTAACAAATGTCTTTTGGCTCATGTGTGCGTGCAATTAAGCTCCGATAGCTACTTGGTTGCTGGAAATTGGATTGTGACTTAAATGCTTTTTTAAGCCATCAATGGCCGTATGATCTCATTCTGACTGAATGTTCCGGTTTTATCATGGCAGACGAGGGCGTTTAGGGGGCTGAAGAGGGGCTTATTGCTCGGGGAGCCCAGTTCGTGACGCGGCGAGCCCTCAGCACCATAGCGACCGCTATTTGAAGACGATATCGTAAAATGAGGCCATGATTGTACTCATTCCGCCCATTAATTTGTATTGCCGAATTTTCTGCATCGCAGAGCTCCAGCCAACGATATCCTCTAACGGTCGCCGCCTGCAATAACGTCTGAGCGCGACTGGTCGTTAACATGGCACTGCGCGTGAGTGGTGCCAATCATTCACTCGATCGCGCTCTGCTCGGAAGTGGAAGGTCTGGCGAGCTTAGAATGCCAGCCAGCATGGCAGCAGAAGTCCGGCCGATGACGAGCCCGCGCGCGTGCCCCGGGAAATACGGGACATCACGCTCAATGACGGCCGATTCCCTCAGGAGTTGCAGGCACACGCAGTGTTTGTTTCTTTATATGCATCGACGTAAGTGTATGCTCCATTTTTCCCAGCATCAGGAGCTTACCGCTGCCCCGTCTAAACAACTACACCTACGCACACATCACAAAGACCAAAAGGACCGAAAAGCCCAGTTCGTATGAAACACATCATTGCCTGTGGGTGCCGTTTTCACGCTAGCATTGCACTGTCGCACCCGCGAGTTAATTCACCATGAACTGTTCTCTGCAGCTGGGTGCGTCGGTCCGCCGCCCGACTCGCTGATGACCAGTGGCCACCGTCTGCAGGTAACCATATCCAGATCCGAGTGGGCGTGCACTCCGGCACGGTGGTGGCCGGCGTGGTGGGGCTGAAGATGCCGCGCTACTGCCTGTTCGGCGACACGGTCAACACAGGTGAGAGTGGCGACGGCCGAGCGGCCCGCCTCCGACCTCGACGGCTGAGCAGCGCACCTCCGATCTCCTCGACGGCCGAGCGGCCCACCTCTGACCTCCTCGACGGCCGAGCGGCCCACCTCCGACCTCCACGTCAGCCGAGACTCGCGCACCTCTGACCCCCCCACCCCCCCCCCCCCCCCCGACGGCCGAGCGGCCTATTTCCAACCTCCCCGCCTGGGCGGTCGGGGGAATTTCCTGGAGCCATTCAGACATATGACTTATTATGCGCATGTGTTCGCTGAGTGAATGGAGACATGGTCCACGCAGGAGAAGCTGGGAGCAAGCGTCCCTGACAGCGTGCCTCTTACAGGGGGAGTGAGAGCGCCTCTTACAGAGGTAGTGAGAGCGCCCCTTACAGAGGGAGTGAGAGTGCCTCTTACAGGGGGAGTGAGAGTGCCTCTTACAGGGGAAGTGAGAGTGCCTCTTACAGAAGGAGTGAGAGTGGTGTGGAGCATACGGGGCCAGGCGGTGTCGGTAGAGATCCGAGGGTGTGGTTGAGAAGGATCACAAAATGTCAGTGAGAGTGGTCAGTTTGATAATCTGACGGCGAGATTGTTGGAAGGAGTGTTTTTTTTCACGCTGCGCCCTCCAGTAATAAGCGCCCTGGGGACTTCACAAGGGCCCTTTGACTTGATATATCACTTAAGTAGAGAAATCGAGCAAATTGGAATTTAAGCTATCGTTGCCTTACTTCCTCCTTCCAAGTCCACTCCGGTGACCACCTTTATCCACCCTTGCGATCTCTCCGCGTGAATCATTGAGTGCGTGGTCGACAGAGGTAACAGCTTTCATTTCAGCAAACAGATATTGACCTCATCACCGTAACCATGGAGCAGTGCCACGATAAACGCAAGTATATGGTGGTCTTATCCTCTCGTAATGTCTTGTACAAACGCAATACAATATTCTCATTGCGTGTGGTGAAAGGCCTTTCGTGATATACCTGGCGATGACTAGATCCTGTTATCAAAATGATCGTCTTCATAGCGTGTAGTAGTAGGTAATTAATAATAAAATAAAATAAAAAGGAGGTAATCTGTCAACGCCAAGGGTATAGATTCGTAAGCGGATTGAGGCGTGGCAGCCCCCCCCCCCCCCGCAGCTCCCCCCTGGCCCTAAAGTTCATCACCAGCCGCCTCACCTTTGAAAGCAAAGTGCATTAAGTTCGTAAAGGCATTGTCTTTCGCATGCTTTTAACGTGGTTTACCTCGCTGAGCCTCATCCCAGCCGATTTTAAAAAACTCCGGGCCTTGTAAATATATAACTGTAAAAAGACAGCGGATTGTCCAGGTTTGCAACCCATGAATCGAATCGCACAGTAGAAAGCGGAAAGCTCAGTCATGAGCGTGTTCGCGTTCCCGTGGAAGATCTGGGTTCGATTCTCACCTGGCGCTGCGGCCCAGGGGCGCTGACCTGGCCACTGCAATCGCTCGTGCTCCCTAGAGCGCGGCGTGACGACGCGCGCCGTTCAATCATTCCTTCCTGGCGATTTCGGATTAAAACAATATGTCAGGCCTTGCAAGCTTGATGACCAGGAAAAGTCAGCAAGTCTTTTTCGTCTACATGGGACCGTTTCGCGATGAGATTGGAAAAACCGGAGGAAGACCACATCAACCTCGGTGAAAATCAGATTAAGTGGTCTCCCTCATCACCGGTGAGCTCCATAGAGCACTCACCCCTGGTTAAAATAAAAGTGAACGATCTGAAACGTTGGAAATATATCTGCGCCGACTTGGTGCGTATCTATATTGACTAAATAAGCGTGGCTTTATGGATTATTGACTATATAGACTTGGCGCGTAGGTAAACCACGAAATGAATTCCGGCCGAAAATGAAGGTCGACGGAGCTTGCCAGCGTTAATCTATTCCACTTAGGACGGTTGCGCTAAGACGCAGGTGTAAATGTGACGGCTGTCTGCGGATGAACAGACCAATGCATCTAGCACAATGATAATCCAACAGCGCAGCAAATCAATGTGCATAAATATGCCAACACCAAAATTTGAATTGCCTGATAAACATGGTCATGTGTTTATTTAGAACTTTTGTACCGCGCATTGAGAACGAATCCGTATGCTTCCGTTCCCTAGTTTTGGTTTCCCACATTAGTTTTCGTCGCCGCACTGTTACGCATATCCGATCACTTGTTTCGCCGGGCCTCTCCGGCGAAGCAAGCACAATTTGAAAGAAGCTTTGCTGCGTTACAAACCCCCGGCTCGTGATAGATGGACCATATCCGATATGCTCCACGTGCAAAACATATTCCAGAGGCTACATCGAGTTTCTTCTGAATTCTCAATTCTCCGGCCTCGTCCATCATCAGGAGTTTATTTCCAAACCGCCATGCATCGTCTGTTCACTAACCCCACCAGCCTAAGCTCTTGAAAGCACTAAGCAGCTCGCTACGATTCCAGAAGTGACCGCGGTGACTGCCGGCAGCGCTGCCATTCCAGGAGTGGTCGTGGTGACTGCCGACAGCGCTGCCATTCCAGGAGTGGTCGTGGTGACTGCCGACAGCGCTGCCATTCCAGGAGTGGTCGTGGTGACTGCCGACAGCGCTGCCATTCCAGGAGTGGTCGTGGACTGCCGACAGCGCTGCCATTCCAGGAGTGGTCGTGTGACTGCCGACAGCGCTGCCATTCCAGGAGTGGTCGTGGTGACTGCCGCGCAGCGCTGCCATTCCAGAGTGGTCGTGGTGACTGCCGACAGCGCTGCCATTCCAGGAGTGGTCGTGGTGACTGCCGGCAGCGCTGCCATTTCCAGGAGTGGTCGTGGTGACTGCCGACAGCGCTGCCATTCCAGGAGTGGTCGTGGTGACTGCCGACAGCGCTGCCATTCCAGGAGTGGTCGTGGTGACTGCCGACAAAGCGCTGCCATTCCAGGAGTGGTCGTGGTGACTGCCGACAGCGCTGGCCATTCCAGGAGTGGTCGTGGGTGACTGCCGGCAGCGCTGCCATTCCAGGAGTGGTCGTGGTGACTGCCGGCAGCGCTGCCATTCCAGGAGTGGTCGTGGTGACTGCCGGCAGCGCTGCCATTCCAGGAGTGGTCGTGGTGACTGCCGACAGCGCTGCCATTCCAGGAGTGGTCGTGGTGACTGCCGACAGCGCTGCCATTCCAGGAGTGGTCGTGGTGACTGCCGACAGCGCTGCCATTCCAGGAGTGGTCGTGGTGACTGTCGGCAGCGCTGCCATTCCAGGAGTGGTCGCGGTGACTGCCGACAGCGCTGCCATTCCAGGAGTGGTCGTGGTGACTGCCGACAGCGCTGCCATTCCAGGAGTGGTCGTGGTGACTGCCGACAGCGCTGCCATTCCAGGAGTGGTCGTGGTGACTGCCGACAGCGCTGCCATTCCAGGAGTGGTCGTGGTGACTGCCGACAGCGCTGCCATTCCAGGAGTGGTCGTGGTGACTGCCGACAGCGCTGCCATTCCAGGAGTGGTCGTGCCGACTAACAAAAACTTCGCCCATGCATCTCGAATTACGAAAAGCTAGGCTGAACATACAAAACTTCGCGAAATAGCATGTGCACAAACTCAACGGTTTGAAAAGCTTGCACGCTGGTCCACGAGTACATATTTTGACCTTCATTAAAACGGTCCGCTATGACTGACATTGAACTTAAGTCTGAAATACTTCAGGCAGTTGTGCATGCCCATCTTACCTTTTCAGGCTTAACCCTACGCCGACGATTACGCCTAGGCTTAACGTTATTCGCCTAGAAATTTTTAGTCAGATCGTGAGAGCGCTGAATATCGATGTACATCTTGATATAAACTGACGCTAGTTTTACATGCGGTCTAAAACCTGGCTTAGGCTAGGCCGGGCATGTCATAGCACCCAAGTTCTCGTCGCGCTGCCAGGCCATGGTTCTAAATGGGTTAATCAAAGTAAAATGTTGCCAAAGTTGATTATGGATATGCATGCTACCATCAAAAATCCAGCGCAAATTTCGACGGTTGCATGGGTGATTTTAGGTCTACATGGGCGCCGGCTACTATATCCGTTTAAAATGTATCGCAAGAAACGTCGTTTGATCACCATCTGAAATAGCGATTTAAAAAATGAAGTCATAGCGAGTTCTAAAGCCTGGTTAAGTGGTGCCCAAAATGCCTTCAAAGAAACACCACCACTGAATAATTCAAACGCACCCATTTGACCAACAGTGGCAGTTTCGACCCGACCGAACTTGCTCCTCACTGTTTTAGCTCCTCACTGTGGATTGCACTTGGGGCGTACCATCAAATTTACTAACCCTAATCTTTGTAAAAGAATGTTAGTAGCGTGTGTCTCAGTGACAGTGTTGAAATTGATATAAACATATATATATATATATATATATATATATATATATATATATATATATATATATATATATGTACATTATGTTTTGTTGCATTCGTCATATTGCAGTACACTCCCTGCCACCAAGTCTCCAAGAAAATTTTGTTCCACTTGGCTCCCATACATTTTGTATCCCTTTTCTTTTTAACCGTGTTAGTAAGTCATCGCACTCCCTAACTGTGCCACCTCCGCAGCCCAGTGCATGCACATTTACTTTGATCAGAAAGCCAAAGGGAGGTGGACCGTAAATCACCTTCTCTGATATCGTGCCCCTCATCAAATAGCGTCCGTGCGTCAGTGACGTCAACGTCATAATAGCCTCCTTCCAGAAAGGATTTAAGATGACCCCCAGCAACTATTCTGAGATAGTGCGTACTTCTTTTCTGCATGTAAAATTTACTGATCCATTTCAGTATGAAAATTTTGACCATTTTGCCTCAAATGTGTCATGTCGCCTTATCCATGCAAGTTTTAAAGCGGCAATGTGAGATTGCGCATCTGTCGTGCTCATACCTCCTTGAGCCTTGGGTCTAATCATTTCTCTCTGCTTGATTGTGCCACACTTGCTGACCCACAGAAATCGATGCAGCATCGTACTTAAATCTCTTAGGGAATCCAGCAGGGGTGAGGGTGAGGAAATCCAGCAAAGGCGGAGGGGGGGGGGGAGCGAGGCAAACAGATATGTAATCTTATGCAACAGCAAACATTTTCTTTCATTTGATGTCCTACTTGTGTGCAATGTGCAGTGCGAGAACACATTTCAGCTTGCGTTTTACCTTCAATACGGTCGAGATATATGACAACTGCCGTGCCTCCACATGGCTGGTGTAACCCACCGATTGCCTTACAGCATTTTTCTCCAACTGTCTCTTGACAGATGCCTTCTGCTTTAGAGTTTTTGGGGATGGCTGGACGCTGAAGTAAGGTTGTGGTGAATCCGTTATGCGTCATGATCACGAAGTCTCCATCACGGGGGTGTAATTTCGCTAAGTGGGTTCGGGATGAGCTGGAGAAATGGCTAAACTTATCCCAAAATGCACTAAAAGGAATCGCCTCTCAACCGCGCCCCGCGATCCGTTTGGACAAGGACCACGCCGTCTGCATTCAGCGGCGGTAGCGGCTTGGCGGCATTGTTGCAGATGTGCGCCTGCTTCTCCTTCCGTCTGGCGAAAAGCCTGCTGAGCGTCTTGATACTACGGAGCTGAAGAGGTCAGCAGCTGAGGAGCAGCTGGCAGCAGTTTGTCTGCCAAAAATCAGCTGCGCCAGGGACGCTTGTCTGAATTCGAGCAGCATGCTGCGCCACTCCAGGAGCGCGATACTCGCATTGGCGTTCGTCTCGTGCGCTCTCCGCAGCAGGCGTTTGGATGTCTGGACAGCATTTTCCGCCTTGCCGTTAGCTTGTGCGTACCTTGGGGGTGTCGTGGTGTCCCTGAAGTGCAGGTTTGCTGAAAACTCGTTGAAGTCGTGCGCTGCGAACGGGTTGTTGTCTGAGATTACAACTTCCGGGATTCAGCATGCTGCGAAGTGTCGTCTAAGGACGATGATGATGCTTCCGGCAAACTTTCCAGCGAGCTCGCCGAACTCGAAATAGCTCGAGAAGTAGTTCACCGTGATAATCTCGGCCACGGAGCGTGGAGATGTCTGCTGGCAAGATTTCCCAGGGTCTTCTCGGCAGTTCAGACTGTTTCAGCGGCCCTTTCTGCTACTTGAATGGATGAGACATGCATATGTCGCATTTAGACAGTTCTTCTTTTAGTCATGTTGCCATGCCGGGCCCGTAGACGACGGCTCATGCCCGACGCAACAGGGTGTTGCGTCCCATGTGAGGTACAGAGGCCCTTTTACCTTCTACTTGAGGGTTGGCGGTCTGACACACCTCCCTCCTGGCCAGATGATACCATCGTCGATGGACGACTCGTCTCTGATGTTGAAGCATGGTAGGGAGTCAGCGGGCACCTGTGCCTTATCGTCCCGGCCAGCCGCCTTTGACGATGTCGTGGAGGACCGTGCTCGTCGGATCGTTCTCCGTATGCTCAGCGATTTCTCGAAGCTGCAGCTGGGAGATGGCAGCGAAGTCCGCAGCGCACAGGATCCCCGTTTCTTCCTCAATGCGGATCTGGAAGACGGTTGGCAGGAGGGCTCGCGACAGTGTGTCCGCCAGGTACATCCTGGTAACGGATTCCCACACCACAGCAGAGAAATCGCAGAGGTAGACGTTGGAGACGCTTGGGCGCGCTCGTCAGTAGCTTCCGCGTGATGGCCACCAGAGGGTGGCGGTCCGTCCTCAGCACGACTCGCCATCCAAACGTGTACTGGTGGTGACGTTCGCGACCGAACACCAGGCTGAAGAGCTCTGCCCATATCTGGGCGTAGTTCTTCTCAGGGAGGTCAGCGCACGGCTTGTGAACGAGAGCGGCTGACCACCCTGCATGAGGCAGAACCCCAGGCCTTGGGAGGAGGCATCAGCTCGTCCCTCCACGGTCAGCTTGACATCGCGCAAGCGCAGGACTGGTGCACTGGCGACCAACCACTGTACCTCCTGGAACACTTCGTCCTGCCTTCGAGTCCGCATCCACTCTTCTTGGTTGAGCACTTGTCCGGGCGGCTACAACTGAGGACAGAATCTGGCCAAGTAGTTTGCCATTCCCAGGAATCGCCGGACACCCGCTATATATTTGGGTTTAGGCATCCGAGTGGCTGCTTCCACCTTGTGCGGAGCTGGTTTGGGTCCTTTCTTCCGGGAGGACGAAGGACTCAGACGTGTCAAACGTGTCCAATGAAGAGAATCTTCTACACCTTGAGCTCCAATTTTGGCAGGTCGAGTTTGATGTTGCTGGTCTCAAGTGGGCAGTCACGCCACGAGTGACAGATCGCGTACACGAGACATAGGAAACCACCCTGCTCCGCCACATTTTCCCGTCCTGCCTCGGCAGAAGATACTGTCGAGCAGCACGATTATGTTGTTTAGCGTTGACAGACGGAGCTAGGCTCTGTTTATCGACACGGGGCTGATTTAGCGGATAGAGCCGTTGTCAAGCGGCTTCAGATGTTGTTTCACGTGTACAGCCTCGGGATACAGAATGGTATTTGGTGTGCGCCCCTGTTCGAGGCGGCCACGAAAGCCCGCGACCGCAGGGCTGGCTGCAGGCTGGAAAACAGTCCTTGATTCAAGTATGTTCAACACGGCTGCTGTTGTTTTGGTGGTGGTCGTTGTTGGACCATTAGCGCTATCGGTGTGGGCGGCGAGCGTCTATTTGTAGGCTTTTGAAAATATTTCATTGACAATTTGCGTCAAAGTTGAGGTTGAAACATATCAAGATTGCTTCCAAACATAGACGGCTTTTAGATCCGTCACGTTTCGTGAGCTAATGTGCTTTTGTTTGCTTTCACCGACGGCTATTCAGTGATAAGGCCTGCCCTTGTTTGTCTGCATAGCCTTAGATAAGACGTCGAGGCAGAATAACACAATTTATCGCAGACTGTAGAAGTTGACGCATCACCGAATGATGCCTACAATAAGCTAGACCACAGTCAGCAAGACATGAATCTTGTAATGCAAATAATGCAGCATGCAGCGAGAACAGAAATTAATCAAGTAAATATGGTATGAACGCCGAGGTCCAAAAATGTGATGGGATCTGACAGCTGCATCTAACGAAACAGGACATCGCGGTTTGCAGTGTCTTTGAATGTTGTATCTGTGAAACACGTATTTGCCACTTTCTTCAGAAGAGACAGGATTTTGAGCTTTCATTTCAAATATCCTGCCTGCACTAAATCTCCAGAAATTTGGGGGCCAAATCCATCGTTAAGGGGGCGGAGCGGGTCGAAAATGGAAGGGGGTGTATGTGTGTGGGATAAATTTAGGGAAGAATGAATTGTGTAGCGCGGCTAGAGAATGAATCTGTTTGGCACCTAATGATGTTCCGTGAGGCCCCAAGAGACCTTAGCTGAGAAGCTTAGGGGCATGTTTTATAGAAAACCGCTCAAGTCCTACCCAATAATGCGCTGTCATGCAGAATGTGGGTGGTGTGAGGAACAACCTCTTCTCCGAGTCTCATTTAATGCACATCCAGAGAGGGAGAGCGAGAGCGAGAGACGGGGACGGAGACAGACAGATAGAGGAGGGAGGAGGGAGAGATGCTTCATGCATAACGTGTGTGCCCTGTTTCTGTTACTGCAGCATCAAGGATGGAGTCAAACAGCCAGGCAATGAAGATACACATCTCAGAAACTACCAAGGTGTGCCTGGGAAAGCTATATCGCACCGTGGAAAGAGGAGAGATTGAGGTCAAAGGAAAAGGTGAGATCAGTCAAAGTATATCAAACTAGAATATTATTGGGCTAGTCATACTATACACACACACACACACATATATATATATATATATATATATATATATATATACATTTCTGACGAAATATATGTAGTATTATGCTTTCATGCATAGCTGTATTGCTATGTGTGTCATGTATTAAATCTGTACTATATCAGTTTTGACGATCAATTTTTCAACCTTTATCTGTGCTTACAAAAGGAACATGTTAACATCCTGCTCCTTATCGCTGCTGCATTCTTGGGTGATGTGCGTTGGTCAGACCTGCTTGGTGAAGCACACTTAAGATGCGTCGACTCCCGCCGGCTTGGCTGGTATGCAGTGGCAGTGTGCTTTCTTTTGTCATTTCCAATGAGCTTAGATGTGTGGAGGGGAGAGGGCTGCGCTAGTCCAAAACGACTTCCCTGGCCTCCCCTCAGCTTCAGTTCCCTGACCTGCCTTCAACCTTCAGACGAGCACCCTGGCCTGCCTTCAACCTACAGGTTTCAGACTGCACTCAATCTTTAGGCTTCCACATCCATTACTACGGTCGCTAGCACGGATCTTCTCACTCTCCCCGCCCCAGTCGGTTCCGATCATTTTTGGAGTCCCTCACGCCCAAGGCGATCCCATTCTCGCGGTGCAGCGGGCCTGACAGCCGTGTGTGGGCAGGCGCGATGAAGACGTATTGGCTTGAGTCGCGGACGGGCAGGAAGCCGCTGCACGAGAAGGTGCGGGTGGAGGAGTGTCTCACCAAGATGGACCGCCTGGCGGAGTCGGCTCGCGGCGGTCGGCGCAGTTACACGCCCATCAGCCAGGTGTCGCGCCAGGAGCGGCCGAGCACGGCGACCAGCAGTGCCATCAGCATTCGCGGTGAGCCGCCCCCTCCCCCCCCCCCCCCACCCACACACGCCCCGCCTCAGTCGGTCTGCCGTGCCCGATCCTGTCCATTTGTTCTCGCATGAATTAGTACTTCTCAGAAATGCATTTATTCTGCCTTGCAAGCTGCACTTTCCGGCAATAGCGTTTTTATCGAATTGCACCCCCCGCCACGAGCACTATAAGGCATTCCCATGGTGCAGAGGTAGCAAGGCTTTGTTGCCGTAATTGTCTTGATGCACGTAATGCACAATAGAGAGAGAGAGAGAGAGAGAGAGAGAGAGAGAGAGAGAGAGAGAGAGAGAGAGAGAGAGAGAGAGAGAGAGAGAGAGAGAGAGAGAGAGAGAGAGGAGAGAGAGAGAGAGAGAGAGAGAGAGAGAGAGAGAGAGAGAGAGAGAGAGAGAGAAGAGAGAGAGAGAGAGAGAGAGAGAGAGAGAGAGAGAGAGAGAGAGAGAGAGAGAGAGAGAGGAGAGAGAGAGAGAGAGAGAGAGATATATATATATATATATATATATATATATATATATATATATATATATATATATATATATATGTGCGTGCATGCATGCGTGCGTGTGTGTGTGCGTGCGTGCGTGCATTTCGGTAAAAGTTGGCAGAATGTCTTCTTTTATGCAGGCATTGTTTAAGACCAGTAACCAGATTCATACAGAGAGAATGGCGCACAAAGGGTGCCGATAACGCAGTGGTTAACGCGTTCGTGTTAGCCACTGCACGTCTGAGAAACCAGAGGTGCGGGGTTCCATTGCCTGTGGTGCCCGCCGTTCTTGCCAGGGTGAGAGGCAGGCGACGTCACATAGCCTCGGCGGCTGAGTGCGTCGAGCTCCATTGCCCCCCCCCCCCCCCCCCCGTCTCCTCCCCAGAGGATACGCGATGATGGCGTAGGGAGTAACTTCACGAGCTTTTACTTCCAATCCGATTGCAAAGAGTAAATAGTAACTTTTTACTTTAGCGAGCGTAAAGTTCTACTATTTACAGGGACACATGAGGTAAGGAGTTATTCTGTACTTCACCAAGCATCCATCGGGTTTCATAAACGCATTTGCTCATTTGATCAGCAGTGGTGATGGTAGAGGAGCCGACCCATGGGCCTATGCACGAGCGGAAAAATAGTTCCTTGAAGCAAGCATAATTTTAGATTTTTTAGAGGCTCACAGTTTGAACTAAAGAAAGACAATAATATAAGACAATACGCAATAGCTTACGTAAAACGAAACCGGCGAACAGTTGCATTCTGTAGGTTGCTAGCCTCATAGTAAACGCTTGCGCGTCATTGTGGCTTTGCCACGCTTCTGAAACTACATCGTGACGCCCGTCCCTCATCCAGGTAAAAAGGGCGGGTTCCGCTGGGAATCGAGCCCGGCAGTGAATGGTTAAACGCAAAAACAATAACCCGTGCGCATTGTTTAACTCGTAATATTTCTCGAGCGGCATGTCATGACGCGAATATTTATATAAAGCAGACATAAAGATGATGATATGTTTTTTATGTCCGTATGTCCGCATGTCCACGGACATAAGACGTTGAAGACATAAAGACGTAAAGACATTTGGCCAACAAAGAGCCACAAGGCCCTATCGAGGTTGACGTGCCTCAGGTTCCGTATGCATCTCCAAAGCTAATCTCACCACCTGACCCGAATGAATTTAGCTAAAAAGGATATCTTGAGACCGATAGAACGTATCTGAACGGGTTTTGAAGGTTCCTAGACAGGGACTTTCTACAGCTTTGTTTGTCAACCCATTCCCATGGCTTACTACTCTTTGACTAAATGTAAATACTCTCCTATTACTCTCCCACTATTGTTTGACTAAAAAGCGCTGCCATGGGTTCAAGCCGTCCTAAACAATTTGAGCAGTGGCCAGAGCGTACAGGCTCCGTTTCTCCGCTCCCAAATCTGCAGTTATGATTTTCAGCAAAAATATGCGCTGCACTCCCAATTTTCGGCTCCCATTAAATTAACATTGTATGACTTTAGTTTCGTCTTTCAAACTTCTTGGCATCGTACTTGACCGACGATTATCTGGATTCTAGAAACAGATTGGTGATTTTCGGATGCACAGAGGTTGGGTATGTGAAAGCAAATCTATTTCGATCCTATTTCTATCTGCAATCTACGTTAACTATCATCTACGTTCACAATGTCTCTGTACAACACAGCAGAAATTTCGGTGAAGCCCCCGAGCGTATCACTCAGAAAGAGTTGACACAACAATTACAAAGTGAAAAGTGACAGCGGTTTATGCGATAACTTAAGGCCTGGTTTCTTTAGTTTCTTTTTTACCTCAAAATGCGAACAAAATGGCATCTTTCGGTGCCTTCTGGCTTGCTTCAGTAAAAAGCGCATGTATGAAAACCAAGCGAGTAAATCGTGTCTCCTGAAATCCAGTGGGTCATATCCGATAATGTTTGGGGGGAGACTTTTAGCAGGCTTTTCCTTTGTCAATCCAGTGCCCCTCCCCCTTACCAAGATTCTTCCTGCGCGTCTGCGTGGATGAGCTCATTGTGCACCGAATGTGGGTGCATCAGTATAATCGCACGTGGCCACTGAACAGCCACCCCAACTAACAACGCTATTATACTCAGCCCGTGTCGCGCGTGACATTGACATTATGAGGTTTCGTCTGCAACACATTTGAACTGAAATGGGTTAGGGTCGCTCGTTAGGTACGCTGTTCCGAGCAGCAAAGGCTTGGAACAGCGTCCCCCAGAAGTGCAGCAGGCTTACAAAGCGTGTGAAATGGAACGAGAGGAGAAATACATTCTCAACAGTAGGCCGTCTACTTAAGCTATCTGGCGAAAGGCTGAGGACCCTTTTCCTAACTGGTGCGTGGAGGAGTGCCTATGTTTTGTTTTGCGTTGACTGAAATGCATGTGCTTGCATATGCATATGCATATGCATATATCGATAAAACTTCGGTTCGTCGAGAACCTGTGTATAAAAGAGTTGTGAAAACCGCATATTTTGTGAACACTGTTTTCTTGTTAACGCATATATAAATACGCAAAAAATCGCTATGTAAATAATAGCAAATTGTGCACGGATTTCACTTTTGGATATGCAAAACAGAGACGCAACTTCACACCCTCAGCTTAACAAAAAAGGTGCGCTTATCAGAACCTGATGCAAACTGCTAGGCCTCTATATATGATTCCAATAGGTACTTACATGAGCTTTCAAGAACATGCAGCTATTGTGAGCACTATATATATATATATATATATATATATATATATATATATATGTGTGTGTGTGTGTATTTAACCCAGACCATAAGTGACGAATCCGAGAAGTTTTTTCGCACCTGTCCCTTTATGGCGAATTTTGAGACGTCCTCCTCCCAATCATTTTGAGAAATCGACATCCATGTATACAGACATTGTAAACGACAAGAGCATGTTCAGATTCTTAGATGAGATTGTTCTGGGTATGCTCCCCTACCCCTGTAAAATAAAAAGAGAAGAGGAACATCACATGTTCTAGACTGAGCTGTTCTTGTCATTGCTGCATGAGTTATCATCCCGAACTATCAGAGCGAATGGAAAGGTATCACATGTTCAAGTGTGATGTACTTATTTTTCAAAAACCTTGCATCATTTTCCCGTGCTTTGTGCTGACAGTCGTTCTTTTAGTTTTTCCGAAGATGGAAATAGATGTTTCCAAAACATTTAGATAAAATATACCAAAGCAACTTTGATACTTTGACTTTCAATGGATGCATAAACACACACACACACACACCACACACACACACACACACACACACACACCACACACACACACACACACACACACACACACACACACACCACACACACACCACACACACACACACACACACACACACACACACACACACACACACACACACACACACACATATATATATATATATATATATATATATATATATATATATATATATATATATATATATATATATATATATAATTTATATATGATGTACGCATATATACATACATAAGCAAGTGTTGTTAAAGACCTTGGGACAGGTGAAATTAATATAGTTTTCCTGCATCTGCTCTAGGTTTCTCACAACGCTTTTCTGTTTACCAATGAGACTAAACAGCAACTCGCCGATGTGTCGTATCTGTTTCCTGGTCAGACGTTTCGACAGCATTTCACATTCCATTTGCAAAGGTACGCACATGTAGCATAAAAGCAATAAATATGCAGGTTGCATGTTGAAGCTGGGTATAATTAGTTTGGAATGTTGTGTCCGTTCTGGTGACTCAGCTGGTTACCGCGCCTGCCTTCCGATGCACTCGCCCGTGGCGGGGGGGGCTGGAGTCGCTCTAGGCGCTCGCTGCTTGTCCTCGACAGGTATGACCTGAGGTCGGTGGCGGCAGCCACGTCGCGGTCCGTTGAAGCCAAAGGGGCAATACGGACCGTGCCGAGTACTGCGGCACCTTAAACTTTCGCCACTCAATCCCGCCGTTGCTTGGAGTTGTGTGATCGGATGGTAGGGTTCATGGCCTACGCAACACACACTGCTTAATGTGAGCTCCCCCCCCCCCCCAGAAATGCATCCCCTCAAAGGGTTTGGATTAAATTTTCAAAACGCTAACTAAGTACAACTATTAGGTATAAACAAAAATTTACAATTAGTCTGTAGGTGAGTAGAAGAGCTGAACCTGGTTCGAGTGCATTTTTACTTCGATCGGGTGGTTTTCGTCTCTGGCGTTTACGAAGGTGTCGACGACGCATCTTGCGCAGTGTTTGACAGAGAAATACATCTGGAATGGCGTTGATTTCCATGTGGCACATGTAGGCGTTGATAAAAAGCGATGTCAGGGGGCCCTATGGCCATGCCGTTCTTTTGTCGGCGGAGTTTGCCGTCTGGTGTCCCTGGCATGCGGACTCGTCGCACAGGCAGGCGTTTCATGCAGGTTCGTCGCACAGGCAGGCGTGTCATGCAGGCTCGTCGCACAGGCAGGCGTGTCATCCAGGCAC